TCTGTCATTAAATTTTCCTCTCTACCATGTCATTTTGGTTGATATTATGTCAATGTCTTCTCTTGTACCATGAAAGATGCCTATGCTTATATTCTACACTTGTGAATCCTGAACAAATGGCCTCTGATTTTGACATTCATCCATTTATTCTTTCTCTCTGAGTCATTTCCTCTAACCTTCCAATTTTTGTTTGTCATATCACTTCTACATTTCAGGGAACATAACATTTCCAGTCTGTCTTGTCATCTGAATTTCCATTTTTTGTTTTAGTCTTCCTTTTACCGGAACACACGTTCATTGCTTATCATTATCCTTACCCTGTAATTTACCGGTCATCCTTGGGTGGGCTAAAATTTGTCTTCTAATAATTTCCTTAAGATGATCATATGAGGTAATGCAACCTGGGTTCTTCCGTACTTAGAATTCTTTGCAGCATTTATACTTGAAAGGCAGCTCGGCTAGATATGAAATCCTTGACTTAGACTTTCCTCAAGTATTTTGTAGAAATAACTCCATTACCGTTGGCCTTGAATGTGATTATGGAACAATCTGAGGCCACTCTGATATTTTCCTGCTTTTATCTGACCTGGTAATTTTGCCAAGTTGCTAGTGACTTGAAAATTCAATAAATTTAGTGGGATACATTTCATCGTAGACCATTCTAGAATAATTGTCCATGGCACAAGATAAGACCTTTCAAGGTGTAGATTTCAGTTTTCTTGCCTGGAAACTTTTGATGGGTTCCAGCATTACCAATTATCTTCCAGCCCTGGATTTTCTTCTTCAAGGACTCCAATTGCATGGATTTCTTTTCCCCATATTTTTTATCCATAACATTTCCCTAATTAAAAAAAATACCTTTTTCTTTATTTCTGTTTCTTTCAGTTGTGTTTCTTATGTCAATTTTTTATGTCCCGTACCACGTTTTGTTTGGTATTAATTTGACCGGTGCATCTTCTAACTATATCTTGTTTGATGGCTACTCTTTCCCTTCTGTTTTTTTAAGGTTCTCCCAGTTCCGATTTCCTATCTTCTTACTGTCTTGTCACCTATTCACCCAATTGTAACAATTCTGCTATAGGGTGTTTTTTAATTTGCGGAATTGCCTTATTAACTATTTTTCCATTGATGGCAAATTATACATTCACTATTTTCATCGGCCTCCTGTGACCATCTTTTTGGGCACGTGTTTTTCATTTGTTGATAATGGTGGGACTCAACTACCTTTATTCCTTGTACAGATGTGCTGGATTTTGTTCTTGTTGTTATTCGTTCTGAATGAATTGGGTTTTCCTGCCCAGTCGTTTGCCAGGGGGTCCCGTCAGTGGTGAGGACCAGGTGACCTTAATGGCCACAAGGACTGAGTGCTTCCACTAGATACATGTGCTCCTCACATAACGTTCCTCTTCTCTTTCCCTGGCAAAAGGGTCTGGGTGCAAGAGTGGTTTCTGACACCACCCACCTTAACATGCTGCTTGGCACCCACTTAACACATCCTGTCCTATACCTTCAGGTCGTGCCCCTAGACCTTCAGAGGTGCGGTTTTGATGGCGCCTTCTACACCTGCACGGGGCGGGATTTCGCTGCTGACATCTCTCATCTGCATTCTTGTGTGCCGCCTCCTTTTTTTTTTTTTTAAGATTTTATGTATTTATTTGACAGAGAGAGAGATCACAAATCAGGTAGAGAGAGAGGGGGAAGCAGGCTCTCTGCCAAGCAAAGAGCCCGATGATGCGGGGCTCGATCCCAGGACCCTGAGATCATGATCTGAGCCAAAGGCAGTGTGGCTCAATCCACTGAGCCACCCAGGCGCCCCGTGTGCTGCCTTCTTGACCTTGACTGTTTCCAGTACTTCCAGGCATTTGTCAAAACTGGAATGGATGTTTTTCCTATCTCTTGTTGATGTGGGACTGGTGTTCAGGAGTGGAGTAGGAAAGGGTGGGGCACACAAGTCACGTATTCCGACTTCTCATTCCGTCCGCTTATCCCAAGTAGCCTCACTCAGCCAGGTGTGTGCAAAATGACTGGATGTTCCCTGGGATCTGCGGTCGTGGCCGCAAGGGCTCCAGAGCTGGGTTTACTCACTTGCAAGGCTGCCACGATGACTTTGTCATTACGAAGATGTGGGTGGGTGGATGGGGGTTCCATAGGACACGTACATCATAGCCCCAGGCTCACATAGAATCCTGACCCAGTGTGACTTCTGGGCAGTAACTCAGATGGAATTTTTTTTTTTTTTAAGATTTTCATTTATTTATTTGACAGAGATCACAAGTAGGCAGAGAGGCAGGCAGAGAGAGGGGGAAGCAGGCTCCCTGCTGAGCAGAGAGCCCGATGCGGGGCTCGATCCCAGGACCCTGAGATCATAACCTGAGCTGAAGGCAGAGGCTTTAACCCACTGAGTCACCCATGTGCCCTGCTCAGATGGAATCTTAATATTTGTGTGGGATACTTATGGACTCTTCTGTAAGGCTCAAGGTGCTAAAAGAACAGAGGTCAATAGCCATCAATTCCAGCACCCTTTTTATTTTTTTTTAAAAAGATTTTATTTATTTATTTGAGAGAGACAGGGAGCATGAGCAAGGGGGTGGGGCGGGAAAGGGAGAGGGAGAAGCAGGCTTCCTACTGAGCAGGGAGCCCAACTTGGGGGGACCCTGAAATCCTGACCTGAGCCGAGGGGAGATGCCTAACCGATGGAGCCCCCCAGGTCCCCAGGTCCAGTGCTTTTAAGTGGAAAAGATAAAGTTCATGAACATAGACAAACTCTTTTCAAACCCCTCCCATCCCCCAAGTAAACTCTGTATTCATTGTTTCTTAGCTTTACAAGTGATCCAAGTGTCATTTTTTTTTTTTTTCTGTAAATTGGGTTAATCTGGGAGAAGAGATGTCACTTGTGGGATGTGTAGGTGTATATAGGATACGGTGCTTCCTCTTCCTAGCCTTCTACGTGCACTGGACTCTATAAAAAACAAGGACTAAAAAGCCTCAGAAAAACCACCAAGCTGAGCAGCCTGGGAGCTAACTTTCTAGCGCCTCTGGGTCGCGTTGCAGTTACCTCATGTTCAGCTTTAAAATGCGATTCACCAAATTGATGGTCATTATAATCATCTCAGGCAGGAAAATGAATAAAAACAAAGACGTCAATCCCCCCAGCTTCTTTTTTTACTTAGTCACAGTTTCCCTAACAAATAGTTTGCATTTACTGCATGGACAGCCTTTGCCAAGCAGAGGAGATGCAGGGGGAGGCCTTACCGTCCAGTGGGAAGGACAGATGGTCCGCACTGGGGCCAGCACTCTGAAGGGGAGGTCTGGGCAGGGGCGCCCTTGCAGGCTGTTGCAACAGGGACCGGAGAGCTGGTTCTCTCTCCGGGTCAGCATCTTTGCCCGCCCCCTTGTCTTGTCTACACGGCTGCACATTTGCTGTGGCTTTCCCTCTCCCTCTTCATGGACTTTCTCTGTCTATACTGCATTCAGTCTTTTTAAAAACTTTACACCTAATGGGTCTCCTCCCTGTTTCCCTCTCTCCCTTCTAAAACCCTTTTGAGGAATTCCCTTGTTCTTTGAGTAAATCTGCTGTCACCTGGTATAGAAAATCCTTACAGGATCTGGCCCCAGCTGACACGCCACACCATCTCCTAACCCACGCGGTCCTTGGCCGCTCCAGAGCTGTGCCCCGTGCTCCTGCCTCCAGGCCTTCCATTGCTGCCTCTCTGCCTGGAGCCATCTTCTTCAGATCCCTGACATTCTGGGAGACTCATTTCCCTACTTCATCCACTCTCTGCTCTGACACTTCTCCCACAAACACCTTGCCCAGCTACCTGTTTGAGATAGCATCCCTACCCACGGAAGCTGTACTTCCTCATACTTGACGCCGTACTGTGTATCTCCTTGTCCTGGTTTACATCAGGTACGCCCCCCGCCCCCACCTGGCCGCCAGAATGCAGGATGCTTCAGAACAGGACCTTTCTCTCTTTGGTTCATTCACGGACCACACACCCAGTCACATGGCTTGCCCCTCTGGGCGGCCTCCGTGATGAAGCGAATGATGGATATGTGGGTCTAGAACTCAGGGGGGATGGGGTGAGGAGGCAGAGCCCAGGGCTGGGCTGAGAAGTCACAGTGAGGGAGACCGAGGAGAAATGAAGAAAGCCAGGAGTGGTGTAAAAGGTACAGAAGGAGGAAAGAAGGAGAGACCCATCACTGGTACCAAACACAGCCAAGAAGTGAAGATGGATAATGATGGAGAACGTCCCATTGGGTTTGAGGAGTGGCTGTCGTGGACGTTCTAGGTAATGGCCATGTCAAGTGTGTGTTAGAGAAGCCGGATAGCGGGAGTGGGAAGTGAGTGGTTGAGGAAGAGATATGGAGACTTCTTTTCTTTCTTTTTAAAAAATATTTTATTTATGAAAGAGATAGAGAGCGCACGTGAAAGAGCAGGGGAGAGGGGAGGGGCAGAGGGAGAGGGACAAGCAGACTCTTTGATGGAGTCTGACTCAGGGCTCAATCTCACAACTGTGAGATCATGACCTCAGCTGAAACCAAGAGTCAGACACCAGCTGAGCCACCCAGGTGGCTGGCCACAGGGAGAATTTCAACGGTCACTTTTCGCATATCTTGTAAGGCCATAATCTATGGTCAACTGAGATTTTCGATTGAAGACAGACAGGAGTCCCAACTAAGCAGGGGAGGTTGTAGTCATGAATGAGTGACCTGTGTCCATCCCACGGGCTCTGCCTAGGAAGGTGTCAGAGAGCAGCGCTTGGGGCTGGGGGACAGTGGCCGTGCGAGGGACCTCCAACCAGCGTGTCTCCTTCGTGAGTTTCGCATGCCTCCTAAATCAGGACGCCAGCCAGCCATTCCATTGAAACGGCCAGACGAGATGTTGCTCCTTGAAAGGGCTTGGTCACGTGTAAGGACGATGTGAAAACGTGTATGCCAGGAGCCCGACCCTGGAGCCCCTTCCTTCGCCCTCGGGTGCTGACGGGATTACTTCCTTGCAGATTCTTGAACAACGTCGGCTTCTTCTTCCCTCTGATAATGATGCTGACGTGGATGGTGTCTGTGAGCAGCATGGTCCGAAAGCTGGTTTACGAGCGAGAGATCCAGATAGAAGAGGTAATCGGCCGAGTGCCTGCCCGGGGACCAGCGGGGGCGGCGGGGGCTTTGGAGCCAAATCCTGTCCCATGACTGACCCTCGGGCTCTGTTTCACCTGCCCTCCCCTCTGCCGGGGCCCCTGTGCCCAGCCGGGAGGGGGCCCCAGGGAAGAGCTTTTCACATTGGAGCTGACGCCCTGCCAGGCTAACAGGTGTTTTCTGCGGGGAAGGAAGGAAGCCCAAGGACAGGCAGGCCAGGTTCAAAGAAAGGAGCCAGCATCGCCCATTCAGCAAGTTTTAAACAACCTGGAAAGACGTAAGGGCAGAGTACCCGGTGAAGGCTGGCCTTTGTGGGGGATGGGCGCACACACCCCCTTGCCTCCATTATTAAGGTGAAGGAGCAGCGAGGTCAAGGGCTCGGTTCTCATTCAGGTCTGACTGGGACTGGCACTGCTGTTTCCCACATTGTTCACCTACTCAGAATGCAATTTTCCTGCATTTCTGTGTTTCCTCCTCATCCACCCAGCAAGGATCCTAGGCATGGGGACTGGAGACCGGGGGTCAGTCACGTTAGACTTGGTCTCCTTTTATCAGGGACCAACCCCACCACCCTCCAAGATACCCCAAAGTTATAGATGGAAAATGAGAAGCTTAATGGAGGCATTCATCTCATTATTACTGCAGGCTCAGTTGTTTTTGCAAAATGCATTCTAACAGTCATGCAAGAGACCCCCTCCCCAACCTGAACAGCTTAGGGTCCAGTATCCCCCCTCCCTTCATTGTTCTGTTTGTCTTCATTAAACCAAACCAACACCACTGAAATGAAGAAAAAAAAAAAAGATGGAAAACAGCCAAAAACAAAGCAAAAAAAAAAAAAAAGATGGAAAACAGCCAAAAACAAAGCAAAAAAATAAAAAAAACACTGAAAAAAACAAAAAAAGGAAAAAGAAGCAAAGCTAGCAAAGTCTGAGTGGATAAGGGAGCACACGGCACGATGGCCATCTCTCGAGCCTGGGGGCTAGGGGCTGGTCCTGCCCCTCTGCCGTGTGGGCTCATGGCCATGACCTCCCCAGGGAGAGTTCCCTACAAGGGGTGCTGGGCTCCGGGTTCTGCACTGGGCTGATGGCCAGGCTGGCCCCAGCATGGGAATTTCTAGCGCCACCTGCCTCCTGTGACAAGATCTGTTCTTTCTCAAGGATCCCGGTGATAACCCTGCGTTTCCTTCTTTGGACAGTACACGAGAATGATGGGCGTGCATCCCACCGTCTTCTTCCTGGCCTGGTTCCTGGAGAACGTGGCCGTGTTGGCCTTGAGCAGTGTAGCCCTGGCCGTCATCCTCAAAGCGAGCGGCATCTTCACGCACAGCAACACCTGCATCATTTTCCTCTTTCTCCTGGATTTCGGGGTGTCGGTCATCATGCTGAGTTACTTCCTGAGTGTGTTTTTCAGCCGAGCGAACACAGCTGCCCTCTGTACCAGCCTGGTGTACATGATCAGCTTTCTGCCCTACATAGTGCTGTTGGTTCTCCATAACCAACTCAGTGTTGTCATGCAGACGTTTCTGGTAAGTTTCTTCTTTTTTGTAATTGCTGCATTTACCCGACAAATCAGTTACGACCTCACTCCATCAGTCTGTCATTTCTAGATCTGGGTGGGCTCCTGGTTACCTCCTTCTATTTATTTGGTCCCTGGAGGCCAACCCTGCAGCCTCCGTGAACTGGCATTGTAGCAATTTTCCTGGAAGGGAGCCCATGAGGAATTGGCACTTCCCACATAACGGGGTCTCTCCTCTGGGGGTGTTTTGGAAATCGGCCACGCCCCAAAGGCAGCGTAGGACCTCCGTGTCTGTCTGTTTCACATATGGAAAGACATAGATTCCCAAAGCTATTTTAGCAGCAAAAAATAAGTGTTTTTCTCGAAGCATCAGGAATGACATCACACTGAGGGGAACCATCCCTCTGTTAGCGACGTCAGAATCATTCACCGTTTAAAGTGCGCCCGCCTGAACGAGTAGGGTGATTCTGTTGGGTGTGCGACACGAAGTACACAGAAGAGACACGCCCATTCCTTCTTGGGTGAGAAGTGCTTGGCGGGCACTGAGAGCTCTGTCCATGGGGAAGGGACGCATGTGTGGCCGTGAGGACGGTCGGCTGCAGAGACCCAGCCCCAGACCTCTCCTCCCTCCACAGGTCAGGCCAGGTTCCCCAAATGTAGTCTGATGGGAGGTGTGACTGGAGCCACTGAGGGAGAATTTGGGAGGTGCCCAGGAAGGCTAGGATCTCAGGGCTCCTACAGGACCCTTGAAGGCTGTGGGAGGTCGCCTGTCCCACACAGCACAATGACAGCTGATGGACCCTTGCTTGTAGGGACAGCATCACTTTTTCTGCTCCCTTTAGAGACTCAGGGAGAATACCTCTGTGAGAGCCCCATTATTTTTCTCCAACATCCGTGAACCTCCACCATTCCTACTGGCCATGGACACACAGCCCGTTGAAGAAATGCCACCTTTACGTGTTTATTTATTTAAGATTTTGTTTATTTGTTTATTTACTTACTTACCTGAGAGCGAGTAAGAGAGAGAGGGAGAGGGAGCACGAGAGCACAAGCAGGGAGGGGCAGCAGGCAGAGGGAGAAGCAGGCTTCTTGCTGAGCAGGGAGCCCAATGTGGGACTCGATCCCAGCACCCCAGGATCATGACCTGAGCCGAAGGCAGACGCTTCACCAACAGCCACGCAGGTGTCCCGAAATGCCACCTTTAATCAGAATTTATCCATTGATGGGTGTTCACCGGTTCTAATTAGCGGAACCAATAATTTTGGGTTCGTGTTTGTTAGCTGTTTCCAGAATCGTGAAAATGGGACCCTTTACCCAACCCCGCTCCCCGCTACTCCTTACATGGCCCGAATTTCAAATACTGCAGTGCCTTTACTTCAATGCATTTGTTTAAACGTTCCAGCATACAATGTTTGAGTTCCTTTTCCCATGTTCAAACGTTTGCTTGCCAAAAAAAAAAAAAAAGGAAAAAAAAAAAAACCCTAACTCTGGTGCCTGATGTTTTTAAGTGTGAAATACGTGTTCAGCAGGTTCTTCCGTGGACGTAGGACCTGCCCCGTGGAAACAAAACAGCGCTTTCCTCCAGGGCGCTCTCTCTCTAGCGCAGAATCGCAGGGACGATCTGTCGGTCTGCCTGTGGCACGCTCCAGGGCATCCACTTAATCATGAAAAACAAGAAATCGCTGTGTTCCGTTCTCCACCGTTTCCCGTTAGGCGTTTCTGTATGCGGTGCTCGGGTCTCTGGCCCTTTAGGCACCGCCGGGAAGAGAGAGAATTCCCTCCCCCATTAAAATCTAGCTTGTTATCAGCCTATCAGAGTGGGCTGACGTTCGGCTCAGTCTCCCAGGGTCCAACGTCGAAATCCCTGCCTGGAGTGATGCTTTGCCATCGCCGGGGGGCAGGGGGTGCGTGGCTTCTGCGTTTGCATGGTGCGCCGTGGGTTTTCTGGGGTCTTGGGGCAGTGCTAATGTGCTATTTCTCTCTCCGTTCCCTGTGGGCAGTGCCTGCTCTCCACCACGGCCTTTGGACAAGGAGTGTTTTTCGTCACCTTCCTAGAAGGACAAGAAGCAGGTAAGGAAGGGGAGAAACGTTTGTCAGAAGAGACCGGGGATTCAGGCTTCTAGGCGTTTCCAGGAGTCCTGTTACAAGGGCCGGAGGACAAGGTCTTCATTCCAAAGCAGAACGTCTGGAATGAGGCGCTGGGGCTTGCCTCGGGGGGTGTGATTGCCCCCCACGGCCCAGTGGCCCCGATAGATGCATTTTGGTGAGACAAGAAACGAGGTAGAAGTAAAACAACACTAAAATAAAACAACAACAACAAACTGTTGGATATTCTAAAGTGGCTAAAGCCAGTCCACCTGGTTTCCTTGAAATTACGGGAAATTGGGCATCCTCCCGGCTCCTCTGAGGAACCGTGATCCGTGGGAGGGCCTGCCTTGGTCTCGGCTGCGTTCAGCTCTGCTCCGAGCTTCCAGAACGCACGGACCTACTCACCATGATCTGCCCCGAGAGAGGCTGTGAGGCTCTGACTCTGCCTTTCCCTTCCTTCCAGGGGTCCAGTGGACTAACATGTACCAGCCTCCGGAACCGTCGGGCATGACGTTTGGCTGGGTTTGCTGGATGATGGCCGTCGATTCAGGCCTTTATTTCTTATGTGGTTGGTACTTGAACAACTTGATTCCCGGTAAGAATTCTGTGTCATCAAAGTTGCCCCAAAGAAGCTAAAAAACAGGTTTAAATCATGTGTTTACATCTAATCATCTCATCTGATAGAATTTAAATCTAATATGCATGGATATTAGAATGATAATTATCTAAATTTAAATGAGAGCTCAGAGGGGGCTTCATAGGATGTGTGTGAGAGGGAGCTGTGAAGGCTCGAGGAGCAGGTGGGCTGCCCAGGTCCTGAAGGAAACGGTAAAAGGCCACGTGAGGATAGGACACAAGTGCCCGGAGGCTGACGGAGCCCCCCACCCCCCCACCCCCCCCCCGCCACCAAGCGGCTCCCTGGGTGGGCTTCTGTCAATGAACGGGAAAGACCCAGGATCAGGGTTCTCTGGACCAGGGATGTGGGGAGTGAGGACGGGAGAGTCTGGGGGCATGTGTGTCCTTGGCCCCACGGGGACCAGGTTGGGCAGGAGTCAGAGACAGTGTGGAGCAGGAGTGGAGGGACCCTGCTCTCTGCCAGGGCAGGGGGGCAGAACCTGGTGGGAAACCAGGCTGAGGATGAGGGGCTGTGCTGGGGGCTGGGGTCAGGTGTCACCTCCAAACTCAGAGTGTCAGTGGTGTCAAGTGTGAGATTTCTTCCGTGGAACGGCAGGTGCAACCTGGAGGCCATGGGAAGCCAGGCCGCCAATAGTAGTGGTTTTCCCTGCCATGTTCGTGGGGAAGGAGGTACCCTTACCACACGCCTGGCTCAGGATGAAAAGAGCAGAAACGGCTTTTAAAGTCTCTTTATTTTATATTTTTAGCAGTGGTATTTTGATGATAGTCTATGCCCTTGCTGAAATGACTTGTGATTTTGTCTCTTTCCAAAGCATCTGGATATTTGAAGTGACATCTAACTTTTAAAAGTTAAGAACTATGAGAGACAGAGGTAGAGACAGACAGAGACACACAGAGAGAGATTCTAATCATACACACATGGACTATGAAGGGATACAAAGACAAGCCGTCCATTCCGTTTCCAAAAACATATTTAAGACTTGGAGCGCCCATGCGTCATAGAAGGATGAGTAAAAATCCAAACGAACGGTGCCACTGACAAGATTACAGAAAAGCGGGAACACGCGGCCTCCAAGAATGAGAGCAAGTGCATAAACCTGCAATGGGTTTTATTTTCGAATTTTACGTTGCATGGTCTGGGGACTTTGAATAAAATTAAAGAAAAACTGGATTCTAGGAAATAAGAAGTTAAAAAAAAAGTTAACTGAGGAATACCAAGGTGAAATAAAACGGAAGGAGAAGCCATGGGTGTTAAAAGGCGGCTAGCCGGCACGAGGGAGGGAAGTTAGAACGTGCACGTGTGATATCGACATTAAAATGTTTGAGGAAGGGGGTCATGAGGCAAGTCTCAGCTGGGACGGGAGGGTGGCAGGGAGTCCCCGGCATTGGGAGAGACGCAGACAGGTGGCTGGAAGGAGACAGACAGACGGCAGGTCTCACAGACTGGTGCTCTCCCCGTTGAGGGGACTCACAGACTGAGTGAAACAGAATAGAAACGGGAACAGTCATTAACCAAGGAGAGGAAATCCGAGCTTGGCAGAGTCAGGGCTCGCCATATTGAACACAACATGCACGAACAGGGACCTACAGCTACATATAAAATGGTGATGTGTTGGAGTCCACAGAGAAGCATGAACACCAGCAAAGGCAGGTCACCCTCGGCAGTGCAGAGACCCATAGGAAATTTGGGCAGGAATCTAGAAAGATCTGAGTTCTCCCCTCCTCCTTCAGGACGGGAGGCATGAGGATCCTGGTGGGAACATTGTCTATATTAAAGTAAGGCATTTCCAGCAAGCGAACCCCCGCTCCCACTCACTTCTGCAGGTGCGGTTGGCTCCAGGACGGGGACAGCGGGCGGGGGGACGGAGACAGAGATCCTACAAAGGAGGGTAGCCGGGCAGGTTCTGCAAGAAGGGCTTTGGGTGTGATGATGGCGATGGTGACTCTGGGAGCTGGGGAGGCTCTCTCCTGGCTGTGGTGTCTTCTCAGGGCTGGGGAAGGTGAGGTGGGAGGAGATCAGGGACCAGAAAGGGAGGACAGGTGATCATGTCTCAGCTGGGGTGCCCCGTGCTGTGCTCAGTGTCCCCTGCAGGTGCTTGCCATGGACAGGAATTAGATGTTGAGGTGAAAGCCCCAGCCACTGGGGAAGGGAGCAAAACACAAGAAGACAGAGATGTCAGACCAAGAAGACAGATTGCCATTGTTGGCCGGTCATATGGGCCTGATTTTTCTGTGTAAACATTTAGTTTATGGGAAAATTAAATAATTGGTGATAATGTCAGTTGACAAGTAGTAGAGTGTGTCAGATTTGTCCTATGTTTAAAAAGTCTTAAAATGTTTATTCTCAGGGTGCCTGGCTGGCTCAGGCGTGGAAGGTGCAATTCCAGATCTCGGGATTGTGAGTTCGAGCCCCATGTTTGGTCTAGAGAGGACTTGAAAATAAAATCTTTTAAAAAATGGTAAAAAGTACATTAAAATAAATAACAAAATATTAAAATAATATTTATTCTCTTTGACTCCGAATTTTAAAGAAATATCCAGGTGAATGCAAAGTACGTTTGCACATAGACGCTACTTGCACATTATCTTTGAGAGCAAAACACGGGCAAACCGCCATTTCGATCTAAGAGATGGATTGATTATGAATCAGTTTCGCATTTGTAATATGGACCCTTTTGAACTAGTTACACATCCACGGAATTCTGATTTACAAGAACATATGTGGGTGTGGGATGTGGGAGATCATGGCAGTGGACCAAACCATCTATGAAATAAGGGATAAAAGAATAATATTTAGTTAAATTAAAAAATAATAATTCCAGTATAGTTAATATATAATGTAATATTGGTTTCAGGTATATAACATACTGGTTCAGCACCTCCCTACATCACCCTGTGCTCTTCACGACAGGTGTACTCCTTCATCCCCATCACTGTCTCCCCCACTCTCCCGTCCACCTCCTCTCTGGTCACCATCAGTGTGTTCTCTAGAGTTGAGTCTGTTTGTTTGGGGTTTGTGTCCTTTTTTTTTGTTGGTGGCTTTTTTGTTTCTTATATTCCATACAGGAGTGAAATCATAGGGTAGTTGTCTTTCTCTGACTGACTTACTTCGCTTAGCCTAATACCTTCTAGTTCCATCCATGTCATCGCAAATGGCAGAATTGATCCTTTTTGACGGCTGAGTAATATTCCAGCGTATGTATAAACCACATCTTCTTTACCCATTCATCAGTCAGTGGACACTTGGGCTCTTTCCATAACTTGACTCTTGTAAATAATGCTCCAATAAACATAGGGGTGTGTATATCTTTTCAAACTGGTGGTTTTATATTCTTCGGGTAAATGCTAAGTAGTGGAATTACTGGATCATTTGGTATTTCTATTTTTAATTTTTTAAGGGACCTTCATACTGTTGTCCACAATGGCTACACCAGTTTGCATTCCCACCAGCAGTGCACGAGGGCTCCCCTTTCTCCACATCCTTGCCAGCACCTGTTGTTTCTTGTGTTGTTGATTTTAGCTGTTCTGACAGGTGTGACGTGGTATCTCATTGTGGTTTTGATTTGCATTTCCTTGATGGTGAATGATGTTGAACAACTTTTCATATGACTGTTGGCTATCTGATGTCTTCTTTGGAGAAATGTCTATTCATGTCTTCTGCCCGTATTTTAATTGGATCATTTGTTTTATTGGGTATTGAGTTTTATAAGTTCTTTTTTAAAAAATGATTTTATTTATTGGAGAGAGAGAGAGCAAGAGAGCATGACTGGGTGGGAGAGGCAGAGGGAGAAGGAGAAGCAGACTCCCCGGTGAGCAGAGAGCCCGATGTGGGACTTGATCCCAGGACCCTGAGATCATGACCTGAGCTGAAGGCAGAGGCTTAACCCACTGAGCCACCCAGGTGCCCTGAAAACATATCTAAAAATAAAAAGACATGGAGTTGGCCAAAGATGACAACAGATTTGTCTTCCTTTTTTTAATCATGACATTAAATTGCCCTGTATATAGCTTACATATCCTTAAGTGACACTGTTTACATTACATTTCAATAATGTATATACTATACAAATTACACATTTATTTTTAACTCCCACCCAGTCTGACAATAATAACAAAAAATGAAATTGCCAGAAAATACAGATGGGCTTTCAGATTCATAAGTGGGATTGCGATTTTGAGGAGCTCGCTGACCTAATGTGTTCTTTTTAAGACAAATATTTTGTAATGCTCCTTTACTCTCCTGAAATAGAATTCACAGATAATAAGGCCTGCTTACCTACCTGATTCAAGAAGTTAATGTACTGTCTTCTCTGTAATATAAAAGAAATAAAAAGAAAGTAATTTTAACAATGCCCAGGCATAACGTTATTATAAGGAGGAGGGAAGTACTCAGATGCTTTTTCTTACTTCTGTGGAGTAAGTTTGGATTTAAGGGAAGGAAAAAGACCCAACCCCATTTGGTACTGGAAGCAAGGAATATATATGACAGAGATAAATGGTATAAAAACTCTTATAAAAACTAATGTTGAGGTCATTCAGAGCAACCAGAATTATTTCTATATGATGAGAAATGTGGGAATGATTTTAATTAGAGTAGGAATAATGTGGGATGAAACAGAGCCAAGGGAAGTAGATAAAATAATGACATTTTTGTAAATGATCTGGGTCTTATTTGAAAGTGTGGGGTCAGATAACTTTTCATGATAAAACATGGGTCAGGGGCACCTGGGTGGCTCAGTCTATTAAGCATCTGACTTTTGATTTTGGCTCTGGTCATGATCTCAGGATCATGGGATTGAGCCCCATGTCAGACTCCATGCTCAGCACGGAATCTCCTTGTCCCTCTCTCTTTGCTCCTTCCTGCCAACCACATACTCATACACCCCCTCTCTAATAAATAAAATCTTAAAAAATGAGAAAAAACAAAAAAACATGGGGCAGGTAATGATGAAGCATAACCAAGGATACATCTCCTGTCTCATAATTCATGGCCCCAGACTCTGATCTGCCCCCAGAGCCTGCTGACCCTGCTTCAGCTGCTCCTTCCCCAGAAAGTACAGTAAAGGGTCTAGCCTTCACTGTCCTCTCCCTGTGCCTCCTGACGGATCTGGTGCTTGCCTGCATGCCTCCCTACCCCGGTGCCCTGTCCTCCTGGGACCTGAACAGCAAACCATCCTTTCAAGGGCTGGTTTCCTGATCTCTCGGACTCCCCATGCCTGAATAATAATAAAAGCTACAATTGAAAACACCCATTCGCTGTGCCAGCCCAAAGTCCCCCCCCCCCCACATTTCCAGAGCCCCTCTACGAGGTCTCAGCAAGCTGAGAGTCGCTGTTAGCGAGTCTGTGGTGGCAGCAAGGCCTCCCCAGCCAGGGCTGGGTAGCAATAGTTTCGCTGTTGCTCTCCGCGTCCTTCTGTCTGTCTTGTCCGTGGAGTGATGGGGTGGGTCCAGACCCCTGCATGTCTCACCCTAGTGTCTGAGCGGGAGGTCTGGCCTCCTGGCCCGCCAGGTTCAAGGTCAGGTGCAGATCCCCGCGCCTGCGCAGAGCTCCCTGGCAGACATCTGGTCCTCTCCAAGTCTTTTCGTTTCATAAACTCTTCTTTATGTGCTTCCAATTAAATTTGATTTCACTCGATCTGTCTAGTTTCATTGACTTTTGCTTTTATCACTGTCAGGTTTTGGGGGGCAATGCTAATGAGTTTCCTGCCCCGTGCGAGCCAGCAGGCAGCTTCCCGGGGCGGTGAAGAGCTCCGGAGAAGCGCAGGGCCTTTGCATATATTAATGTGCCCGGCTACATATGGTAATGTGAGCGGGAAGCCCGTGCTCATGCAGTGCTCATGAAACACGTCTGGATTTACAAGCAACAGCAAAGAGCAGAGGACCGCGTCGGAGCTGAGTGGCCTCCCTGCTAGCGGATTTGGCAGCCTTCCCCCCAACCCCCGTCCATTTACATTAATAAATTAATTAGCAGGACTTTAAAAGTGCAAACAGATTAGAGCTGGGATGGCTTAATTAGCAAACTGGCCGTTAATATTCAATTTGTTTCCAGTTTCAAAAGGCCCCTCCCGTGTCTCCCGTCCTTCCTGTCCCTGCAGCCATGACCCCAAATCAGGTCTCCGTGGACCTCCTGGGGATGGTTCGGGGGGGGTCCTTGAACTCCTGTCCATGTGTCCAGCTGCCGCCTTTGCCCCTGCTCGTGCAGACTCTGATCTGCCCCCACCAAGGGCATGTGAATCTGTCGCCCACTTGCCCATCCAGCAGGTGGCGCCCACTCACAGGGATGCTGGCAAGGACAGTGACCGGAGGTCACGGAAGAGGGTCCCTCCGCAGAAGACTGCGGCTGGATGCAGGGGCTGGAGTAGCAGCCACCAGCTCTGGTCGGAGAGTCTCCTGCTTCCTCTGTTGGCTTCTCTCCTTTTATTTCTGCAAACTCGGCATGCATGCCCTGGGCAGGAGCTCTGCCCCCCATTCCCGTGCGCGTCTCGTTTGGATCGAGGGCCACGGAGTATTGTCACTGCCGCGTTCAGAGAGGCTTGTACCACGGTGGCTGCTGCATACAGTTCAGCAGCCTGTGTCCTGCCCCCTGGGAGGGAGAGGTGGTCGTAGACCCCCACACGGCGTGGTCGCAGCCCATGTGAATGAACACAGGGGGGACCCTGGGCAGGGTCGGCAGGGAGAGCATGGGGAGGATATCATTATCCCTGGGCTGCTCGTCTCTTACTGGGGAGGGGTAGTTAGTCGTTTGCTGGAGTCTTGGAGAACTTTCCGCCTGCTTGTTGCACATTTTCTAGGGCTGCTGTGATGACCTGGGCTGCATGGCTTAACCAAGAGAAATCCAGTCTCTCCTGCACTGGAGTCTGGAAGGGGCCCAAGATCCAGGCATGTACAAGGCTGGCTCTCCTGAGGTCTCCCTCCTTCTCCTCGTGTCCTGTTGGTCTGTCCACGCTCCCTGTTTGTGTCCTAATCTCTTCCCATAAGGGCACCAGATCGGACGAGGGCTGACCCAGAGACTTCACTGAAACTTAATTATCTTTTGAAAGCCTTCTTCCAAATACTGCCCCATTCTGAGTTCCTGGGGGTTCGGATTGCAGCATGAATTTTGGGCCACTCAGCTCAGCTTGTACCAGAAGTGACTGTTATACAGGATACCAGCCCCACACCCTCCTTCACTTGCCCGTTCTTCTTTGTGATCACGTCTCTGAATCTTTGGCTTGGACAGGATGAGGTCACCCACCTCCCCTTGGTGGGAGGGTCCAAGTGTCAAAACAGTCTTCACGTAGGCCCTTATCTCTTCAATCGCTTGGAGGATTTGGAACACGCATCGAATTTAGGCCAGAATGGATGTGTTAAAGAAAATTGAGAGGTGTTAATAATTAAATCCACTTTCATTTCAACGTATAATGAGGGCAAAGTGACTATTAAGTGGGCCGGAATGAATTTGGAGAGTACGTTTGAAGAATGTCGATGTTTCATATGGAAATGTTGCATTATGTGTTCTTCTTTGTCGATGTTTTAATGGATTGATTCCTTCACGCTGTTAATCCGTGTCTAGGAACCATGCAAACATCAAAGACGGGACAAGAGAGTGACAGCTCCGTAATGGGGCAGCGGGGCTGGGCGAGCTTTCCTCTGGGGAACATTCAGCAGTCATTCAATGCTACTTTTATTCTTAATAAATACCAGCCTGTTCACCGAACACTTGGGGGAGGGGGCGTGGGGCAGGCTGAAGACGGAGCGTGGGGGCTCCCCACAGGGCTAACACCCCGTCCCCCGGATTGTCCCTGGGTCACATGAGGGATGCACCTCCAACAGTTTAACATGGAATAACATTGCGTATTAATTAGCGAAGACATTCTCATACAGAATCTTCCAAGTAGAAAACAAGAAGTCTACCGATTTTAACTGTGTCTTATTTTTTAGGAAATTTCGGCTTAAGGAAACCGTGGTATTTTCCCTTTACTGCGTCATACTGGAAGAATTTGTGGGGTTTCGTGGCAAAAACACCGCAGGCGCCTGGTTCTGACCTGTCCTTCATCAACGAGCACTTTGATAACAAAGGTCTGTGAGGGGTAGCGGTATTAGATATGTGTCTTCCCTTCTGGCAGGTTTTGCTTCAGCTTTTCATCTGGGTCGAGGCACTGTAACTGTGTACACCTTCTGTGGCTGTCGCCTAGCCAGGGCTGGTCTTGGGCTCAGAAGCACAGCTGGGGGCCAAGTGGCCGGAGAGAATTCCCTGATGATGCTTAGCCTGGGGGCCAGAGCCCCGGGGTGTTACCCCCCCACCCCCACCTACTGTTTGCAGCCTTTCTGTGTGCTGGGTGCAGCATGGATGTGTGTGAGGAGCTAAAGCAAAGGGGGACAGCTGCCCAGGGCTGTGGGCTGTAGACATCGCCAATGCTAGTGTCTCCAACATTGGCGTGAGAGCAAGACCATCGTTGTCCCTTACAAGCGAGGAGCATGCGGCCAGGGAGACAGGGCAGGACCCCCATCCCTGTGGCCCTCTGTGTGTCACTTACACCTGCTGGTCCATGAAAGTAAGACTTCGGGGACAGTCTGTAGACATACAAGCTCCCATCATGATAGTTGATACCACAGTCAACATTGCAATGTTTTTTTGTTTGTTTGTTTTAAAATTTTTATTTATTTATTTGAGAGACAGAGTGAGCTCAAGCAGGGGGAGCGGCAGGCAGAGGCAGAGGGAGAAGAAGGCTCCCCGATGAACAGGGAGCCTGATCCCAGGACCCTGGGGTCATGACCTGAGCTGAAGGCAGCCGCTTCACCAACTGAGCCCCCCAGGCGCCCCTGCCACCAGCCATTTCATTTAAGTTTTGCCGTTAATCTATTTTATCCCTTTGCTTTTGGTAAGGAAGGGTTTTGAGTTGCTGTGTGTTTCCCAGACCTACGGCTCAAGTCCACGGCAGGCCCTGGACTGGTGCATGTGAGCATTACCCTGGGGGCTCGTGGGGTCCGCCAGGAAGGGTCTGTATCTTCTCTTCTCAGGGTCCGCGCTGCAGAACGGGGAGGGAAAGCCTGGAGGAGGCCCCCCGGGTGTCGCCCTGGTGTCTGTGACCAAGGAGTACGAGCCACACAAGGCAGCCGTGCGGGACCTGACCCTAACCTTCCACAGAGACCAGATCACTGCCCTGTTGGGGACCAACGGCGCCGGGAAAACCACCGTCATGTGAGTCCCATTTCATCCTTGTCCCACACAGACTTTTAAGAACAGTCTCAGTTCACATGAGATCACACTTGTTTTCCTTCATTTCTGTTTGGAGACAGAGGACCGAACCCCTCGCCCGAGCCGCTCCATGCTCTGGGTGGACAGATACGTGGTGGGGGCGGGTCTTTTCCCTAATTCTTTCATTCCCAGCAAGTAATGTGCCATGGTTTTACTTCAGTGTTTGAGAGCCCAAGGACATTTCTCACTGTCCTACGCTACACTGAATTTTGCTCACTTATCTGGGAAGATGAAATTTGGCATGATGTCTGCAAATGTTTTAATCGCCTCAGTAATTTTTTTTTTTCATGTTCTGCTTTTTGTGTGGTTATGGTTTTTTGGTTTTTTTTTGGTTTTTTTTGGGGGTTTTTTTTGTGAAGTCTTGATTTTTGGTTTGGGGTCCACTGGCTCCAGATTTGATTAAAGAATCCAATCACGGGATCCCAGAGGAATAAAGAGCTTAAAAGTGGGGGGCTCGCAAAGCAGCCCAAGGCCATTTAGGTTAGACCACGGACATTGCCAAACTTGTCCTGCGAATAAGCCCATTTCTCTGTTCTTTTTCAGTAGGACTAAAGCATGCTTAGTTAAACAATGAAAAGGACTATATGCGTCAAACTTCTTTTTTTTTTTTAATATTTTATTTATTTATTTGAGAGAGAAAGAGAGAGTGCAAGCAAGGGGAGCAGAGGGAGAGGGAGAAGCAGGCTCCCTGTTGAGCAGGGAGCCCGATGCGGGACTGGATCCCAGGACCCTGAGACCATGACCTAAGCCAAAATCAAGAGTCAGAGGCTCAACTCACTGAGCCACCCAGGCACCCCCACTTTGAGCTTCTTTAAAAAAAAAAGATTTATTATATTTTATTTAAATTCAATCAATTAACATAGAGTGCATTATTGGTTTCAGAGGTAGAGGTCAGCAATTCATCAGTTGCATTTAACACCCCGTGCTCTTTCTGTCACGTGGCCTCCTTCATGCCCGCCACTCAGTTTCTCCACCCCTCCCCTACCTCCCCTCCAGCAGCCCTCAGCGTGTTCCCTACAGTTATGATTCTCTTATAGTCGGCCTACCTCTCGGACGTCCGCTTATTTTATTTGTGTTCCCCTTCCCCTGTGTTCATCAGTTTTGTTTCTCAAATTCCACATAGGAGTGAGATCATGTGATCATTGTCTTTCTCTGATTGACTTACCCTCCTTTGAACTTCTTGAGAAAAGTAGCAAAATAACATGCAGAAAGCTTCAGAAATCTCAACTAGGAGGGAAATGAAAAGAGAAAAAAAAAAAAAAGAAAGTTTTCCTCTTGGTGTCGATGCTGAACGGAGCTGGAGAGGTCACTGAGTATGTTTGCGCGTTTTCGGGTGGGAGTAAGCATTCCGCGGCACCACGACTCTGAAAGCCAGCCTCCCACATCATGCTCTGGCGAGCTCGCATTTCTTAAAGCAAAACCTGGCGTTTACGTTCAGCAGAACAATTAGACTTAAATTTGGAGTTTCTCCATGTTTCGAGGTCCCTGCCTGCATTCCTTTGGGGACACGTCTGGGACGTGTCTGAGTCGCTCTGGGCAGTTTGCTGAGCTCTAACCCCCTTTTGGCTCACGCACTAGTGACCATCATGGTCGTGAAACAGAGCACGTTTCCCCCTCTTTGTGCTTTCCTGTGCCCCCCGACCCTGACCCCCAAGTGACCACAGATCGGAGGTTTGTCGCTGTAAAGGAGGCTGCCTTTTCTAGAATGTCATGTAAATGGAATCCAGTCTGGCTTACTTCATTGTGCTGATGCCTGGAGGCTTCCTGGTGGTGGTGATGCGTCCATGGCTGACCACCTGGCCCTGGGCTCTGTAGAGTGCACAGGGTTCTTGTCTTTGCTCCTGGTGTGGGTGGCAGGTGAGTGCATTTCCAGTGGCTGTGACCATCTGTGGACACACATTTCCCCGTGTCTTGCATAAGTACTTAGGGATTTGCTACGTGCTGTGGTGGGTGTATGTATAATTTCTTAGAAAAGTGAAAGCAGTCTCAAACCTAAATAGTAAATGTCCTGAGATAACGGGGTCCCCCAGCTTCCTTAGGTCAGTTCAGACCAGCGAGCTTCCAAAGAGGGCCAATTGAGGGAGAAGCAGAGTCCCCGCTGAGCAGGGAGACGGATGCAGGACTCGATCCCAGGACCCTGGGATCATGATCTGAGCTGAAGGCAGACGCTTAACGACTGAGTCCCCCAAATGCCCCAAACACACCTTTCTTGAGCTGGTTTCCTTATCTGTAAAACGGAGCTGGATTTATAATTTTAAACTCCCATGCACTGGAATGGTCTCTGATCAGCATATTGAGGGAGTGTAAACATTGTCATAAACCCACGTTTCCACGATGAAACCAGCCAACATCCCGAGGAGTGGAAAACAGGGGGGGGGGAGGTCGCCCTAGGGAGGCCCGGGTTGCCCGCCTTGGAAGCAGCCACTGCCTCCGTCCTCTGCTGATTTCTTTTCTCTGGCAGATCTATGCTGACGGGACTCTACGCTCCCACCTCTGGAACCATCATCATCAATGGCAGGAACCTGCAGACAGACTTGTCCTCCATCAGAAAGGAGCTGGGCGTGTGTCCACAGCAGGGGGTCCTGTTCGACAACCTCACTGTCCGTGAGCACCTGCTGCTCTTTGCCTCTGTAAAGGCTCCACAGTGGACCTGGAAGGAGCTGAGTCAGCAAGTCAGTAGGTCAGCGCCTGCCATGTCTTCGTCCTCCTGCCCTCTGCCCCATAAAATAGTGGTGGGTGTAGGAAGAGAGGCTTTAAAAATATCTCTGATGTCTTTATTTATGAGAAGAAAACCCTAGCAAATGTTTGTTTATTTATTTATTTATTTTTTTTAAATTTTTAATTTTTTTTAGAGAGAGAGGGAGCACAGGCAGGGTGGGGCGGGAATAGTGGCAGAAAGAGACAGAATCCCAAGCAGGTTTCAGGCTGAGCAGGGAGCCTGACACGGGGCTTGATCCCATAACCCTGAGATCACGACCTGAGCTGAAACCAAGAGTCAGTCGCCTAACCGGCTGAGCCACCTAGGCTCTCCCCGAACTAGCAAATAGCTCTTACTGTGGATTCAGGACACCGCCGCCAGCACTGGATTTCCAGAGAAGGTTCTCAGGGAAGACTCTGAATGGGACTTGGTCTGTCCTCCGAGGGGGGTACTTCTGAGAGGAGGTGGGGGGCACAGGTGGGAATGTGTGGCCGGGGCTGCACATGGAAGGTTTGTGTCTGGGGCTCGGGAGATGACAGAATGGGGGGTGGGCGGAGAACTGGCTGCCAGGAGTCCAAGTGGTCCTGAGGAGGGGGTTGAACTTCCTCACACAAGCAGGTGCGCGTGGGTGGGCAGGGTTGGGGGACGATCAGCTGTGGCCCTGGTAGGCTTATCCTGTGACCCCAGAGCAGAGCGCACAGCGCTGGGAGAGACTGGGGGCAGAGACCACTGTGAACAGGGCCCATGAGAACCCACATGGCAGCTTATGACCTTTGGTGGTATTACTGGAAACCGAGCTGGGCAGGTGAAATGACTTGCTGCCCAGTCCCTCCGTGCGCACAGCCGCCGTGTCCCCCTGCCTGGCCCTCCCTCCCCCGTCAGCTCACAGCTGCGCAGTGCTGCTGCAGGGATGTGGGGATCCCGCTGCCTTCCTGTGGCCACGCTGGGTCCTAGCAAAGTCTGTGACTGCGCTTAAGTCAGGTTCCTAACCACGCATCTGGGCTTCATTTTTTTTTTTTTCTTTTTTGGATGTAGGCAACCGTAATAGTTCCCAGTGTGCTGTGTGTTACTTAGCAAAGAAGCCAGTTTGCACAGGAGCAATCAGAGTGAGATCATGTTTTAGGACAGCACTTCTCAGTGAGAGGGGGTGGAAGCTGAAAGCCAGGGATTTGGAGTCAGCACAGTCCGAACTGGGTCCCGGACAGGCCCTCGATTGTGTAGGGCTGTTAGCCTGTGCTCCAAGGGAGGTGGGATCCCTGGAAGAATCTTTAGAGAGAGTGTCTGTCAGGAGGGCAGGTCGCTACTGTTTTGCCCTTAAATTGGCCTAGAGGGGATAAGAGAAGTCCGAAAAGGAACTTTATCAGGACTTTAGGTGAGGAGATGTCATTACATGGTCTCATTGGCTCTTGGGCTTGTGGGGCGTGCTGGGGGACTCCAGCATGACGCTGGTAGGTCATTGGTGATAGGTCATTGAGGTCGTGAGAGCGGGTAGACAAGGGAGGGCAGAGGGCTGAGCGCTGGGCAATTGGACATGAAGACAGTGGATGGATGAGTGGTACAAGCCAGGGGTGAGAAGGAGAGACCATGAGGGAGGAGCGACGGTCAAGCACATCAGATGCTGTTCGGGGTCAAGGGCAATGGAGACTGAGGAACCACTTGTGGGTTTAGGACGTGGGGGTCCTTGGTGAGCAGCTGGAAATGGAAGCAGTTTTAGGAACATGATGGGGAGGAAGATGTTCTTGGAGCCCATTAAAGAGACAGTAGAGAGAGAGGGAGCAGAGGGGGCCAGTAACAAGATGGAAATGTGATGTGGGGAGAGGACGGGTGTTTCAAATACAGAGCAAGTGACCTGAAATACAGAGGATGACCTGCCCAGGAGCTGTCCTGTGTGCTGGGGAGAGGGGGTGCCGAGGGGCTCAGGGCCCACTCAGGGGAGATGGGAGGAGGTGAGCAGAGTGTGGGGACATCACACTCGCAGAGGAAGGGAGGGAGGGCCTGGGGTGAGTGGAGGACAGTGGGCAGCTGAGTGGGTGGGGTTGAGTGATGCCAGGGGCCATGATGAGCTGGCGTCGACCGCTGGGGGGGTGGTCACAAAACAACAAGGTCCAGGGTGCTGCTGGCTGTCAGTGAGTGTGATGGGGTTCAGGCCTTGACAGAGATGGGAGGGGTTTGGGGCTTGCCATAGAGATGTTCTTAGGATGTACATGCTTGAGGTCACCTGATCTCTTACTGGCTCGGTTTCTGTTTGTTTTCTCCACCGACTGATCTCTGGTTGGTGTGGGTGAGGTGGTTTTAGGAGTCATGAACTCTGCTATAGTGTGGTCACCAGGTGGGGGTGGTGACCTCATCGCCATGGGAACAGAGGGTCTAGACTAGAGGTTGTCTAATGAAAACGAACCATTTGTCCCCTCCTCCCAACCGGGGTGCTGTCTCCAATGGGAACACCTGAAAAGCAGGCGCCTAAGTGACTGCTATGAATTTTGGTTGAGATTCACCTGATGGAAAATGCTGAGTCACACTTGCACCAAACACAAGGAGGGTCAGGCCCTGGGAAGTCCCCTGGGCCAGGACGGAAAGTATGTGACTAATGAAACAGACAGGACACATTTATTTAGGCATCCGGCAAGGAAGTCCTTGGGATTTCACCCAAATCTTTGCCTAGGATTCTGGAACTTTCTGGAACCAGATGGTTCTTGACGCTCAGCTCTGTGGAAGCCTTATGATTCGTCTCCCATCCAGCCTCGTGTCTGACTGGCTGTTGGCGGTCTGGGAGTGAGAAGGATGCCTGCAGCTCGGTGGGGGCGGGAATCGACTTCGGTCTGAATGCCCTGGGCAAGGCTTGGGGAGGCCACTGCTGGCGGGGGCCATGTCAGAGGGGCGAGACAGGGATGAGGATCTGTGGAGTTGACAGTGGACAGTGGGATGCTTATTTTCGAGCAAAGAGTCGGCCACAGGAGGCAAGGCCTGGCTGGGGAGGCTTTCCTTGCATGGGTGTCTGAGACCAGGAGCTCTCGCTTGGACGCTCCCCGGGAGGGAGCTGGCGGCCGACTTCCACAAGAATGGCAGCTGAAGAACTGTGCGTTGCTGGCGGCATCTCCCAGGAACTTCTCCATCAGGAAGGCGGGTGGCTGCCAGCGTAGAGCATGTGGGCTGGACGCACCGGGATTCTGCAGACTGTCCCTCGGTGGGCGCTGGAGCTGGGCCTCTGCCTTGCTCCCTCTGACCCACCTTGCCCCCAACCAGCCCACCTGCTCCCAGCATCCTGAGGAAATGTAGGTCCCTTGAGAATCTCCACCAGGGAGGAGACGAGCATTTTCCAGAAATAGCCCTTGGTGGATGCTGCTGTCCAGCCCTCACTCAGGGCCCGTGGGCAAGATTCCACCTGAATCTGAAGAAGGTCCGTGCCGTCATGTCAGGACTCATGAGCATGAATGGCTTCTAGGCCTTCTCTGGGGGTCTGTGGCTCACATGTTCTTGGCTGTTAGTGGTCCTTTTTGGTGGGCCGAAATCTGCAGCAAGGCTTTCTGGCATTCAGGGGGAAGAGTGAGGGCTTTGTTTTTCTTCCAGAACTCTCCAGGACGTGGAGTTAACGCAGCATCAGCACAAACAGACCCGCGTCCTGTCTGGAGGCATGAAGAGGAAGCTGTCCATTGGCATTGCCTTCATCGGCACTTCAAGGACAGTGGTTCTGGACGAGCCGACCAGCGGGGTGGACCCTTGCTCGCGCCGTGGCATCTGGGACATTCTCCTCAAGTACCGTGAAGGTAGGAACGGGGTGTCCTTCTGCTGTGCCTCCTGTCGATATTGTGGAAGGAGCCAGGTTGAGCCCCGTAAGGACACATTACCTTTTACAGAAGAAGGAATTGTCACAAGAAGGTATAGAGATCTATCTGTTAATTTTCATTATTTATTTATTTATTTAAAAATGTTGTTTATTCGTTTGAGAGAGAGACAGAGAGAGCACAGCAAGGGAAGAGGCAAGGGGAGAGGGAGAAGCAGACGCCCCGCTGAGCTGGGAGCCCAATGTGGGGCTCGATCCCAGGACCCTGAGATCATGACCTGAGCTGAAGGCAGAGGCTTAACCATCTGAGCTACTCAGGTGCCCCTATTTTTTTTATTTTTAAAAAGACTTGTATTTATTTATCTCAGAAAGAGGGGGAGCATGTTCTCAAGCTGGGGGAGGGGTAGAGGGAGAGGGAGAGAGAGAATTTCAAGCAGATTCTGACTTAGGGCTCGATCCCAAGGTCATGACCTGAGCTGAAACCAAGAGTCGGAGCTTAACACACGGAGCCACCGGGGGCCGCGAGGTGCATCTGTTCCATAATGTCTCTGGTCTGCGAGTATTTGGCCACTTTGTGTCTCATCTCTTAAACCGACTGTGACCGATGCTTCGTAGATGTGATTTTAGTAGAAATCATATTCATCCAAACTGGGTGCCGTTCTGGAACCCCAGGTTGTTAGAGCAGGTGTTCTAGCTGGCGTGTGGCACGATCCTCCTCTCCTTTGGTGAGGGAAGCAGGGCATGGAAAGGTGGGCATGTGGATGGCGCACGGCTCCAGCGGAAGCTCGCTGAGCCCGGGGTGGCCGGGGGTGCTGAGCTAGGCCTTCTGGGACCCATGTGTCTAGTTGAGGCTTTGGGTGGGCAGTTACTGACTCCACCCGTGGCTCTTTCTCTGATCTTGACAGCTAAGAAGACTTGGTGTAGGTATTTCATGTAGAAACATCCAAATTTGGAAGGAAGCGGCAGGAGGAGGGACACCGGGCTTGGGTATAGGAGTGTAATGGAATGGTCACCACCAACTCTTGAGAAATTGTTCTGCTTTTTCTCTCTTACTTTTGTGTGTGGAATCTTCTGACCCCACCTAGAGCCTCTGTGGCCCTGAGGAGATGAGGACTTGCCACGTGAGACATACAAAGACAAACAACCAGAAAGACACCCCGTGTTTCTTAGCATTCAGAGGGCCACACCCAGAGGACTCAGGCCATCATCTCTGTCCTGATGCCTCGTCTGTCCCTTATGCATTGTCATAAGGCTGGGATCAGGGAGGAGGACGACACTGAGGAAACATGGAAAAGCCGTCGTGTTCCTTTCTGTCCCAGGAACATGGGGGCTGCAGGCCCGGAAGGCAGCAGGGGAGCAGGAAAATGGAACAAGCCGATGTGACCTTCTGTTCCTTTCTGGGCATTGGCCTGCGGGAGGGGAGCAGTTACACCAGCAAAGCGAGGCTATGTCCATGGCATGGGTTCATGTGACTTCATGCAACCTTGCCATGGTCCTCGAGGCCAAGCAGGGCGCCAGAGCCCAGGCAGGCACCCACAGTTGGTGTCCCACACATTCGTGGGCCCTGGGCATGGGCACAGAACAGGGCACAGTGTCTTCAGGGAAGCCAGGATGAAGGCTCAGGGCCAGCCGCCAGCCAGACCCAGGTGAGGCCCAGGGAGCAGGGGTGCTCCGTGCTGTGACCTGACCCTTATGAGGCTCTGCCTAAACTAGGAAAGTCATCGCCCCAAGATCACAGGATGCTGACCACAGCGCCGGACATCCTGGTGCTTACTCATTGCTGTAAGAAGTCACAGAATGGGGACCCCCGAGCCTTCTGTGCGTGGGACCCCGAGTCCCACTGGAGGGATAGAGGAAACAGAGATGAAGCTAATTCAGCCTGCACTGAATGGTTTCTCTGCCTTCCCGAGTGGGGCTGGTAAAGAAGACAGGCGGAAGCAGAGCAGCACATGCTTCCATTGTCTCTGAGCCCGCAGTCTCCGCACGCATTCCATACCCAGCCTGCTGCTCTCGTTGGTTTTAAAAATCAGAGTTGGAGTCTTCCAGGCTCGGTGGTCAGAACACTGAGTCGTGAGCATAACAGTATCTTCCAACAGCAAACCCGACGCGATGCGATTCTCAGAAACAGACCACTGTCTTCAGATTCTGTTGTTATACTTCCTTGTTTTCTCCCTGTCCTTGGTCAGTGAGTAGTGATTTTGGCGTTTGGAGAGCCAGTCAGTAAGACGTCAGCAGATGACATAGGCGGGACCACAAGGAAATCAATTCTCAAGAGTCAGGATGTGTGGCTGGTCCTGGACAGAGCCCCAGACCTCCCGGTGTTTGGGATGCGGATCTGCGGGCTGGACAGAATCTCTCCCTGCTGGGCAGCACGACCCCGTGTAGGCACAGCAGTGCGCCTGGGGCTCAGGGTACCTGGGATCTGATCCGCCGCCGTTCCCTCCCTCCTGCGATGCGCGGCACTGAGCCCTTGAGTGGGACGGGGCTCCCTTGGAAGAAGTCAGGAAGAGAAAGATGCCCGAACAAACTAGCGCATGATGAGCGAATTCTGTTCACGCTTCTGCTGTCCACGCATGCCTAACCCTGGAGAAATGATCCTATTCCTCGGGCATCAGGATTCTCGCTTGTGGGATTTTGGGAGGAGGAGATGTACTGTCTACAGAAGGGCGTGGCTCAGTACGGGCAGCTGGGGGTTCGGTCAATGACACTTTATTGTTACTGTTACTAAAATAGACAAGAGGGGCGCCTGGGTGACTCAGTCCATTAAGCATCTGCCTTTGGCTCAGGTCATGATCTCAGGGTCCTGGGATCCAGCCCCACATCAGGCTCCCTGCTCAGCGGGGAGTCTGCTTCCCCTTCTCCCTCTGCCTGCTTCTCCCCTGCTTGTGCTCACTTTCTTTCTATCAAATAAATAAATATAAAGTAAAAGACCAAAAACAACAATTGTTTCTGCAAAAGGTGGCCCCTGAGCTCTGTGAGGTCTGCTCCTGGGGCGTCCCCTGGCTCGTGTCCCCACCTGCACACAGGCAGCCCCCTGCCCATGTCCCAAGCCCACTGTCTGCAGTCAGAGTGGCTGCTTCTCTCCTGTCACGTGTGATGGGTGAGTGTGTGTGGTTACATCATCCCAGACCCTAGAAGAAATCAGAGCAGACTGTGGCCACTTGCCCCACCTTATTCAAAATAGTGGCCACTTTGGTGGAATAAATATAGCCTTCCCCATAAGTGGCTGCGAGATTATCCTCTGAAGACCTGTGACAGGGCCTGAGTATCAGAGGAGAGACAGAGATGCCCTCCCAGCCTTTTTAAAAAAAAATTTCTCCTCCACGGCCTTGCAAGGGTGTGCCTGCGAGTGCAGCGGGGGTGACCAGACATGGGCCCCTCTGTGTCACCCTCTGTGCATGTCCCTGGCCCCTGTGACTCACCAGGGGATGGAGCATTTGTAAAAATAGCATCAAAACCCCAGGAACCCGCAGAGGAAGAAGCATCCCCTCCAGTCTGTGGCCAAGTCACTTCTGTGCGTCTCTACTTTTTCAGACGTAAAAATTAGCGGTGGTCTTTGAATCCTCTCTGGGTCCTGCTCCCCCTCCCCTGCCCCAAGGCAATCAGCATGCCGGCTCTGACCTGTCTGTGTCGGGATGCAGGTCGGACGATCATCTTCACAACCCACCACCTGGACGAGGCGGAGGCGCTCAGTGACCGCGTGGCCTTCTTGGAGCAGGGCCGGCTGCGCTGCTGTGCACCCCCCTTCTGCCTGACTGAGGCCTATGGCCAGGGGCTCAGCCTGACCCTCACCAAAGAGGTAGGAAGCTGGAGCAAACCGGAAAGTGCTGATTCTGCGTCCAGTCTGGTCCTCGACGCTCCCGGAATCCAAAAGGAGGCCCGGGACAGGTGCAGGGATGGGGAACCAGAGCAGGAGGGAGGCAAGATGTGGTGACGGTGGTGTCTGCGGTGGGCTCGGCGGCTCGCAAGGTGGGGCTGGGGGAGAGCGGCCGCAGGGCTCCCGGTGGGTTGGGACAGGGGAGGCTGAGCTGCGGGCGGAGTCACTGGTGAGGGGTGGGCTAGAAAGGGAGTTGGTAATTGAGTCAGAGCCTCTGGGCACAGCAGCTGGGATGCGGAATGAATGTCCCTGGGCTGAGCAGGGCCGTGAGCCCCTGTGACCACAGTGCATCGTGACCGAGAGGAACCAGACGGGGGTCAGAAGTCCCTGATGGGTACCAGCCCATCCCGTGTCTGGCCAGGCAGCATCATGGGCCAGATGCTCCAGAAGTGTTTTTCTGACAGTGAGGGTCCATCTAGGAGGCTGAAGCTTTCCTCGAAAGCAGCAAGGGATGAGTAGGGTAAAAGGCACATGTCAGAGGCCCCGTCAGCACGGGCTGGGCAGGAGTGGCTCTGGGCTTGGGGTCCAGGAGGTGTGGGCCCTGAGTCAAGCTTCCTCCCTGACTTGGGGTGAGTATCTCACTGCCCTGTGGTGGTTCCTTCCCTCTGTGTGTGGGAGACCCTTGTCCCCCCTTTAAGAACACCCGGCCCCATGTCCTGTACTCCAGAAGGGATTCTCCCCAGGAGCGGGTTGTGTGTGTGTGAGTGCAGCCCTCCCCAGGCCTGCCTGACGTGCCTGGGAACCAACACCAATGTGGGCGCAGGAGGCTCCCCTCCGTTGGAAACATTCAACGTATCCTTGCAATGCTTGTGGCTCAAGTGATACCTCTCCCTTTCGCTGCTTTGCACTGGAATTTCGCATGTGAAATCAGATGACGGAAACTTGGTGTTTTGGGACTAAGGCTCCTCCTTCCTTTTTGGGACAGTCTTCTGTTCTGGAGGCCGGTGACCCGAAGGACATCGCCCGGGCCACGTCTCTGATCCAGACCTACATCCCGCAAGCTTTCCTGAAAGACAGCAGCGGCGGGGAGCTGGTCTACGGCCTTCCCCAGGACGTGGACAGGGCCTGCTTCAAAGGGCTCTTCCAGGCCCTGGAGCAGAACCTGCACAGTCTGCGCGTGACGGGCTTCGGGATCTCGGACACCACGCTTGAGGAGGTAGGCTCAAGAGCGCCTTCGAGAACTGCTCGGTGCCCAGGTGCGGGCGAGGCCGTGGGGAGGCACGTGAGGGAGAACACGGCCGTTTTTACTATTTCCAGGTTGCAATCGGTGCCGGGCCCCACGGCAGCCAACAGGCAGGGTTAGCTCGCCCCGTGCATCCCTACCGCTCTTTAAGGGAAAAGTGTGTTTTTAGATTTGAGAACTGTGATACCTTGAGGAAGTTGGGGGATGGTGGGCCACGTGTCCTCACCTGGAGGCGCCCTTGCCTTCCTCTGTGGACCTGCTTCTGCCCGGCGCCCACGGCCCCATGCTGACAGGAGGAGGAGCTGTACAGGTCAAGCTCGTGAACTCCTCTGGTTCACCGCGAGCCCCACTCCGCCGCCCTGTTCCGCTTCCCTGTCCCTTGGGACTGACCTGAGTGACATCCCCGCCTCGTGGCCAGTGGGAGGCAGGGCCAGGCATTCCTTCCTGGAGGAGTGGCCATGGGTGTGACCGAACCAAAGGCAAGGGTTGTATGGGGCCTTGGGGTTGGCTGAGACCAAGTCGAGTTCTAAGTTTATATTGTTGTTATTATAGAAAATGCTGCAGATTTAGAATAAAAATCCAGTGACCCTGGGACGCCTGGGTGACTCACTTGGTTAAGGGTCTGATTCTTGATTTCGGCTCAGGTTGTGATCTCAGGGTCGTGGGATCGAGCCCCGCGTTGGACTCCAGGTGAAGTGTGGAGCCTGCTTATGACTTTCTCTCTCTCTGTCCCCCTCACCCGAACTCTCTCTAAGCAGAACATAAAGATCCAGTGGCGCAGACTAAGATTTAACGATCTGGAAGGGATCTTGGACCCTGTCTCTTTATGGGTCCGGACTAGTTCCAGGGGCGGTGAGCTTTGTAATTCATAGTTGGCCCAGAATCTGAAAGAATATTAGAAACCTTACATGAGAATTAAAATATCACGACCTTCAGAGTGTCAGAGTCTGAACTTTGGGCTGTATTTGGATGGATTCGGGGGCTGGAGGCGCGTCCCTGGTTTAGCCTCGTGAGAGGAGAAACAGCCGTGCACGTGTGAATCAGCATCATTCCAAGTAGACGCAGCCCATGGCAGCTTTGGTCTGGGGTAAAATGGTCATGAAAGGTTGTAAAACATAACAAGATCTGCTATATTCCAAGCTATTTAAATGCAAATGCTGTCCCTTGTTATTTTTCCCATATTAAGGGTGAGGCTCAGAGAGGCTGGCTTCTTTACCCTAAATCCACAGCTCATCAGCGGCAATGAGGTAGGGTCCCCGAATGCGCCCATGACTTTGCAGGAGGTGCTGTGTGTCTGTTTGACTCCTCTGCACCCCATGGCACCCAGCGCCATGCCCCACACCAGCGTTTGCCTAATAAATACTTTCTGAATGAACCGTGAGCAGGACACTTCAAAAGATGCGTCCAGCTTCTGGGAGAGAGCATCGTAGTGGAAAAGACACGAGCACTGCCCCAGCCGGCACTAATCCAAATCCATCTCCTTCCAGTGCCTAGGGCCTTGGATAAATCACTCAACTCACGAGAGCCTTGGGATTTGATCTTTGAAATGAAGTAATTAGAATGGTTTACTTAGTTATTCCGTGCACTGACAATAACACATAATATATCCTAATGTTTACAACAAGCCCACCAGAAATGGTGAAGATTCTTCCTGCCCAAGGAAACACGGGGTGTGAAATCGTTGTCGTGGCTTTGGAGTGACAGTGGAGCAAAGTCCCATCTTCTTCGGGGACTCGGGGCAGACGTCAGGTACTCTGTGGAACAGCAGGAGGCGGGGGAGTTTCCCAAGCCCCTGTCCCCCGATGGGGTGAGGCAGGGCGGGTCTGGTGTGCCCCGTGGACGTGAGTGCAAAGCACCGTAAGGCAGCTCAGTAATCGGGGGCTCAGACAGGGCGATGCCACACCCCGGGTGTCACCATCTTTTGGACCCTGGATGACAAACCAGCTACTGTACCAGCCAGCTAGCAACCGCGATGAGTGGGGACTTGGGAATCATCATTTCCCTACAGACAGAGAGACACCGACTTTCAGAGCTATGTTGCCAGTTTGGGTTATTTGAAAAGGAAAAAAAATTGTTTTGGTCTTTTCTAATTGCTTTTATTTTCTTAGTAAAATAGGAAAGGAAGACGTCAGCTGTGCATGAGAAAGGGGAGATTTATAGAAAATAACTTCCTTTGCACTGTGAGGCGGGGCTGTTGCCGGTGAAGCCCAGACTGGCTGCTTGGCGGCATCTGTCCGTGTCCGCAGGCGCTCCCAGTTCTGCACGTGCTCACACTGGCTAAGCACGTCCACGGCCCATGTGGTTTGCCACCCGAGAAGAGGGCAGGGCTGCCTGGGGGGATGGGGGACAATTTGGACCAAACACACTAATTGATAAAATAACGAGCATTCACCTTCGGCATTTTACACTTACTTGCTCACCAACACACACGCGTGGCAGGAAGAACGAGTGTGCGCCCCGTGGACACGACGTCTTGTCTGTTGCTGATGCAGTAGGCACGCTGAGGAGTCCTTGCGATGGTTGTCCTTAGGTAGAGCGAAATTTCGTGGCGTGCTGGGCTTAACTAGTGTGTGAATTAAGCATGAATTTAAGCACAGTCAAACATGGGGAGGGGGTCTTTGTGATCCGTGTGGATGCTTAGTGTTTAAATCCTTTGTTAACCGTTATGCAATCGATAATTCAGGGCAAATGTACGGTTATGGAGAGGCGTGTTAATAATTACAGTGTATATAAGATGCCTACTTATTCTTAGTATTTCTTTCCCTCCCTCCTTCTTCCCTCCCTTGCTCCCTCCTCTCCTCACCCCTCCATCTCCCCTCCCTGCCCCTCCCTCTTATTTCTCCCTCCCTCTCTTCCCTTCTGCTCTCACTTAACCCCTCCCTCTTCTTCTCTTCCCTCCTTCCCCTTACACCTCCCTCTCTCCCCTTCCTCCCCTCTCTCCTTCTTCCTTCCTCTTACCACTCCTCCCTTCATCCTCCCTCTCCCATCTTATCCCTCCCTTCCTCTCTTCACACCCCTTCTCCTCTCCCCTTCCTCCCTCTCCTTCTTAACCCTCCCTTCTTCTCACCCCACCCTCCCCTCTCACCTCCCTCTCTCTCTCCTTCCTCCTCTCATCCCTCCCTTCCTCCCCCCACCCCTTCCTCTCTCCCTTCCCCACCCCTCCCTTCCTCCCTCCCTGCCTTCTTCCCCTCCCTTCCTCTCACCCACACTCCCTCCTTCCCTTCTGCCAAACTATCAGGTCTGGTTCCAGCCACAGCCTTGGATTAAATCAAAGAAACTTCTGGGCCAGGAAAGGTGTCAGCTCTGCCTTCTACTCATTTTTGTATGCTTGTATCGCTCCTTTTATCTGTCAGAATCTTTATTTAAGCCACTCATATCCTTTATAGGTATGATTTTAGTAAAAGCCAGACAAAGCAATGGGACATTGACTCACAGGGGTCACAGAAAGCTGCTGTTGCTGAGCCTGAGGTCCAGTGAGGTGACCTCTGTCAGGGGAGACCGTGGGCAGCCTGGCTGAGGAAGGACACCAGAGGTCACCCACACCTTCAACATCAGGAATTCTTAGTTTCTGATAGGGTTTAGTGGAAGCAGAAACTAGGGCTTTGTGTTTGCTATTCCCAGGGTGGTGATGACTACCCCACGGGGCAGGCTTCAGGGGTTCTGGCTGAATCCAGGGGTCCTGGTGCCCAGGTGCAGAGCCCCTGGGTTGGAATCCTAACTCCAAACCATTGGCCGAGTGTGTCCCTGGGAGCTACCAGGAGCCACAGGTGAGGCTGATGGGACAGGCTCCTGGTGCAGCCTGAAGGGATGCCACGAAATGTCCAGGAGCTGCCCCGGAAGGGCCCTGGGCTGGGTGGTGCCCCTGCGTCCCTTCCAGATGGGGGCTCCCCTGGGTCCTCTGTGCCGTGGGCAGCTCTGGGTCTGGGAGCTGGCTTTGTGTGGGGACACCCTCCTCTGGGCGACCAGGGTCACGATCTTCAGCCTGATTGGAAACATCTCTGCATTTGCCGTTGTTTAATAGGAGCTGCCCAATTAAGGTATTGATCTTAAGCCGTGTTGGTTTTTCCCATAACCACTCCTCCAGCGGCCACCTGCCTTCTGCTGTGACCGGCTTCCAGCATCGAGGCTCTCCTGCAGGGGCTGAGTGCAGTGGGGGCCGCCGCGGCTGGGGGAGCGGCCAGGTGTGGGTGGGCTGAGATCTACAGTCAGGGTGAAGCCGGACGGTCCCTTGGCTACAGTGCCACTCTTTCTCATCGAGGACATAGAAATTCCTCCTAACTTTCGCACACTGTGTGTGTTGGGATCTGATAACACGATAATTCTGAGACGGATCACAAACAGCAAGGAATCACGCAAACATGAGGACTTCTCAGTATCACTCGAGTACTGCTATTTTAATCCAGAATACACGTGCGCTGGTATATTCAGAAATTAAGCATTTCTATATTTTAGTCCTTCTAGATTTTTAATGTTATGACAATGCGTCATCATGGCGTAACTTCTGAAAATTCTTTTGTTGTTGTTGTTTAGATTTTATTTATTTATTTTTGCCAGAAAGAGAGAGAGAAAGTGAGCAAGTTCACATGGTATCATGACATGGGAGGGGAGGGGCAGAGGGAAAGCAGACTCTTTGCTGAGCCGGGAGCCCGATGTGGGATTGCATCCCAGGACCCTGGGATCATGACATGAGCTGAAGGCAGGTGCTTCACCGACTGAGCCACTGAGGCGTCTGGAAAATTCTTTTTTAAAAAAGATTTTATTTTTAAGTCATCTCTACACCCAGCGTGGGGCTTGAACTCACAACCTTGAGATCAGGAGTCACAGGCTCTACCTATTGAAGTGGTCAGGTGCCCCCTGGCAATTCTTTTGATGCTAATTCCTTAAATATCCCTATTTCTTATTCATATTTGCCTTTCTTCTCCAAAATATTCTTACTTATACCCATTGATGCGCCTTTGGTAAATTTCTTAATC